ATATTTAGGGAAATACTTACTCTCAGGAATAACTTGAGTAATGTTTGATGTAGAAAAGCTTCTCATATTCCTCAGCAGCATGCTGTCTTCCAACATGTTTCATGACTGAAATGAATATCACTCCCTTTTTCATTTTTGACACAAACCTGCTAATTAAGTTACAATCTCTGCAGGGGTAATAAATTCAATGTACAGTTACAGCCTTGGAGACAAAAACCCCAGGGACCATCATTCTGTGTCTGTGTCAAAGGAAACAATTAAACTAATCAGCATTTCTGTGTTCATTACATATGTATATGTTTGAACGGACATATAGGAATAATAGACATTTAGAAGATGTTTGTGACATCTCAACAATCACAAACAATATATTGTAATGATAGTGAAGCAACAATATTCAAGTGAGTGAGTACAGACAGCTCTTCCACACATTGAGTTTACTTATCTATTTTTGGACCTATATCGTGTACTTAGAATGCTGTTGTATAGTTTTTCTGCTTCTTGTTTATTTACTTATTATGTATTAATCTATCTACTAATTCATTTATTGTTGAAATAAGCAAGACCCAGGCTGGCCTTGAAATCACAATGGTCTTCTGTCAATATCTTGTACTGGGATTCCTGGCACATACCCAAATACCCAGGTTTATTTCCAGGTTTTTGAGAAAATCTCATACAGTTATGAAAGGTTTCTTTCTAAGGTAAATAATGCTATAGACTAAACAAACTTAATAGATATTTACAGAACTTTCCATCTTATGGCTGACAACTTTACTCATTATTCTCTTCTGCATATGGAACATTCTCCATGAGAGGTCTTATGTCAAAGAAACAAAAAGAAAGAACAAAAGTTAAAACAATAAAACAACACACAGGAACCAGCCACACATACACATCTATTATATACCGTGTTCAAATGTGATTTATCCCAGTATACAGGTGTGGCTCAGTGTATAGACAGCAATAAACATACTATAGCATACATAACACAAGAAGAACAAAGACAATAAGAAACATGAGACCGAGGGTAAAGCACACATGTACACATGTGCACTGAGAGAGGGAGAGAGAGAGAGAGAGAGAGAGAGAGAGAGAGAACTAAAACATTTTCAATCATTCTATCTTCAAAAATGGATGAATCAATATAAAGTCTGCACTGTAGGTAGATTACTGGAAGATCCCTTTTCTTTAATGTATGTTATATTCATCTAACTTTTGGTTAGTATGAAAAAATATTTAAGAAAATCCAACTAAGGAAGAATTTGGTTTTGTCTGACACGTTCAGAATTTTGAGCCAGCCATGGAAGAAAGCCAGTCTTGGAGGATCCTAGTTCACCTCATGATGGCCAGGAACCATAGACAGAAGGCTCTCTGCTCTTACAGAGTTTTGATTTTCCCCTTTGAGTTCATACGAGCACTTGGTTGGTCTAAAGAATGAGCAAGTCTTTCTCCCTTACCTACTAATCTTTAGAAGAGACACTCTCACATATACATCCAAATCTCTTTGGATTTTCTGGATGCAATCCATAGTAATGAATAACTGTCATAGATATGAATGACATTTTTGGGGACAAAGAAGATAACTCTTTTTAGAAGAACAATATTTAAGGTAAAGAAGTGATATTAAAAAATTTAGATACTCTGTGTATTAACTACTCCTATTTAGAAAATATTTAAAGAATTTCATTGTAACTCTCATTTATGAAAGTATTATTTTTAATGAATCTTTGTGATTTTCATACA